TTGTGGACTTTCCCCTTTGGCCCAAATAACGTGTTCTCGTACCCAAACATTTTGGGAAACATCCGGAACCCCTTCCGGAGACCAAACAACATTATCCCATATATTAAACTTCATCTCCGGACCATTCCAGAGTTCCTCGTCATGTCCGTGATCTCATCCGGGAAACCGAACAACATTCGATCACCAACATACATAACTCATATAATACTATATCATCAACGAACGTTAAGCGTGCGGACCCTACGGGTTCGAGAACTATGTAGACATGACCGAGACATCTCTCTGGTCAATAACCAATAGCGGAACCTGGATGCCCATATTGGTCCTACATATTCTACGAAGATCTTTATCGGTCAAACCGCATAACAACATACGTTGTCCCTTTGTCATCAGTATGTTACTTGCCCGAGATTCAATCGTCGGTATCTCAATACCTAGTTCAATCTCGTTACCGGCAAGTCTCTTTACTCGTTCCGTAATACATCATCCCGCAACTAACTTATTAGTTGCAATGCTTGCAAGGCTTATAGTGATGTGCATTACCGAGTGGGCCCAGAGATACCTCTCCGACAGTCGGAGTGACAAATCCTAATCTCGAAATACGCCAACCCAACAAGTACCTTCGGAGACACCTGTAGAGCACCTTTGTAATCACCCAGTTACGTTGTGACGTTTGGTAGCACACAAAATGTTCCTCCGGTAAAAGGGAGTTGCATAATCTCATAGTCATAGGAACATGTATAAGTCATGAAGAAAGCAATAGCAACATACTAAACGATCATGTGCTAAGCTAACGAAATGGGTCAAGTCAACCACATCATTCTTCTAATGATGTGATCCCACTGATCGAATGATAACTCATATCCATGGTTAGGAAACTCAACCATCTTTGATCAATTAGCTAGTCAAGTAGAGGCATACTAGTGACACTATGTTTGTCTATGTATTCACACATGTATTATGTTTCCTGGTAATACAATTCTAGCATGAATAATAAACATTTATCATGATATGAGGAAATAAATAATAACTTTATTATTGCCTCTAGGGCATATTTCCTTCAGTAGGAGCTGCACCCTCCAACGTCTCACCTTCATGGGGGGCCCCCAAAGGGGGTTCCTTGATCCCCAAGTCCTTCTAGAAGCCTTTTGGGAAAAGCCCCAAAAGGTGGCTTTCCATAAATATCCCAAAAAGCACTTTCACTATTCATGACGACATTTTTCAGCGTCCGTTCGAACTGAAAATATTTATGTGGGCTTAGAACATTTCCAGTACCCACCAAAATGATTTTGAATGCGTTCTGAAACAATTCCGGTTTAGTGATTTTCATCTGCGAAAAGCATCTAAAGTGGTTCCGGCAGCTCCGGAGCATATGCGGTTATTATCCCGAAAAATTCCAGAAAGCTTCCAGAATGATTCTGGCACCCTCCAAGATTTATCAGGCATGTGCCGAAACCAATTTGACTTAATGGTATCCCCTAAAACAACTTTTCAGTTTCGCCGAAACTCATTCGATGACCTTTTTCTGCGGAACCTTTTCCGGTGTCCGAAACTTTTCCGGTGTCCGAAACTTTTTCGGTGATTTTCTCTCAGACTCCCTGTCTAGTATTCAGCAGATAGATAACCCTTAAGCGTGTGACCCTATAGGTTCGGCGAAGTATAGACATGACCCGAAACCCCTTCCGATCAATGATCAACATCGGAGCCGTGGACACCCATATTGACCCCTATACTCACACAAATGAATATTCGAGTGAACCTCTAGTTGCCGTGTGCTATTCCTGTTGCTTCGGGATATGTTACAAATACCCGAGGTGAGACATGTTGGCATTCCCGTGGATCAACAACTTGTCCACTATGCCAGTTACCTCGTTACCGGTATTTTTCTCTTTTCTCGTCACCGTGTTCCGGCATCCCCATGATCAAATCACAAAGTGTCTGGCCAGATGATGATGGATACCGTAACACCGAGAGGGCCCAGAGATATTTCTCCATCGTCGGAGGAGCAAATCCCAATCTTGAGCTATCAAGTTACTTGACATACTTTTCCATGAACCCGTAAGCCGCCGTAATAGGCACCCATTTACGGATGACATTTAACAGACCCCAAAGTTCATGAAGCAAGCACGAAGAAACTCGATACTCTCATGGTCTAAGGATTCATGCAAAAGTTAACCATCTCTGTATTATTTACCATTAACTTGTGACGAATGACTCTCATAGCATAACATCAAGCTGAGTCGATTCAACACAAATATTCTGTTAACATTGTGCCCTCAAAGTTGCTGGCATAGACATGCCCATGATTGGGAAAATATAATAATCATGCAACACTTGAGCTAGTCTTAGAGGCATTACTAGGAATACATTTTACTATTTATTATTCCACACGTGCACATGGGTTTTCCCCAGAGCCTTTATGGATATACGGGCTCGGGAACCACAACAGTTATAGCATGGAATATAAACATAATTATGAACATGGAGATAAATAATAGTCCCTCCGTTCCTAAATATTTGTCTTTTTAGAGATTTCAATAAGTGACTACATATGGAGTAAAATGAGTGAATCTACACTCTAAAATGTGTCTATATACATTCATATATGATAGTCCATTTGAAATTCTAAAAAGACAAATATTTAGGAACGGAGGGAGTAGCATTTATTATTGCCTCTATGGCATATCTCCTACAGCCCCATACCCGGCAGGCGTCCTGGATGGGACCTCATGTCTTAAATGTTAGGTTTGGATGCATGATTTTTTTGGTATTAGGCCCAGACTATCAGCATCCCTTCTTCAATTGGATAGGAGCAGCGACATATGTTGCCTAGACGGCGGCTTTAATCTTACTGTTGTATTACTTTGTAAGGTCTTGTATGAACAATTAATAAAGTGACTGCATGCACCGTCCAGATGCAGAGGTTGGGAGTCTTCCTCCTTTTCAAAAAAAAAAATGTAGCCTTGCACATCTCGAGGTCATCATGAAGATAGACCAGTACAAGAGCAGGTTTAGAGCCGGTGTTCATGTGACGGCGACGAGTAAGAAGCCTTCTGAGGAGGACCATTCCCCTGCTGGTACCATCAATCCCCTGCTGCTGTTAATGGCTTGCGTGGGCTCTTGTGCGGAGCTTAATAAGTGAATAACTGAATATCCTTCTCGGGAAGGAAGATGCAAGAAACCGACCAGTGATAAGTTCTACTCAAGAATTTCTTGAGTTGGAAGTGAGAGCCATGCGCAGGCGGCAGGACCCAGGAAAGATTTGCCACGTCTGCTGCTCGTGATGTAGAAGAGGGTATCGGCCACCAGCCTGCTGCTTCGCTTGCAGCTAGAGCACTCCTCAAGGGCGTCACTCCATATTTCAAAATGGTTATCTCATTGAGCTAGCTGGAGATGAGGGAGCCAAAACGATGCTCAGGCCCTTGAGAATGGAAAATACCTGTCACCTTTGTACATAATTCTGCTACTCTGTGTCAAAAAAAGAAAAAACGGTCACGAGACAGCCCTGCACCAGGCTTCTGGTTTGAGGACGGCACAGCTCTTTTTTTTTTTTTTGATCAGTGAGGACGGCACAGTTCTGGGTCTACGGAGTTAGCGTTGCTTTCATGCTTTCGTGGGAGAAGAAAATAATAAGGATGATGCTGACGGTTCACCAGAAGAAAAAAATATAGTCAAGCTGCTAATGGGAGCGGACCGCGATATGGCTAATTAAGATCCTATATAAGCCATTGTGGTAAGGCACATCGACGTCTGAGCTTTTTTTTTTTTTGCCGATGACGTCTGAACAAAGTTTGTGTAGCTACATAATGTAGTTTAACCAAATCTACATCACTAGACCTAACATGAACTATATATATACATATCGTATTATATGAAACTGTAGATGTTTATATTTTTTACGATAAGTCTGGTCAAAACTAAAGAAGTTTGACATCTAACAAACCACATGACCCTTGTAAACCGGTCCAAGGGAGTATGACCCCAGGTTGTCATTAACTATTTGGAGGATTGGCTCGGGGACACCGTTAAGATAGCTTAATTAATACATGAGTAGGTTAATAGTCAAAGTTCATGTGGCCTTGCACATCTCGATGACGTCATGAAGATAGATTAATACAAGATTAGATTTAGAGCCCATGGACAGCCATGTGTTTTGAAAAATCCTCCACCAGGTCATCATCAAGCCCGGAACGATTAAGATGAAGACTTAGGACAGAGAGAGAAACTAACTAAAAACATGAGTTGGTTAAACGGAGAAGAGAGAAGACTTCACACTTGTTTTAAGAATGCACCGAGATAGGGGTTGGGAGCAGAACCAACCTCGTACACTGCATCCAACTTCAAACCACAAAGCTCAGGGATATGGAGGGCACCAATGGAGAAGAAGCGGCTAGTTCTCCAAATACTCGGACAGTGGCCATGGACGCCAGGCTGATGGTGGCCACAGACCGTGGCGATGTCAAGAAGTTGAAGGAGGCCTTAAACAAGGAGGATGCCATGGCGATGGTTGTGGTGACGGCGACGAGCAAGAAGCCTTCCTTGGAGGACCAACCCCCTGCTGGTAACGTTATCAATCCCCTGCTGCTAGCATCGGCGCGCGTGGGCTCCTGGGAGGCGCTGAATCTCCTTCTTAAAAGGGAAGACGCAAAAGATCCTCCAATGATGATTCCTACTCAAGAATTTCTTGAGTTTCTAGCCCAGGGAAGAATCGCGGCGTCAGCTGCTCGTGATGTAGAAAAGGGTGTCGTCCACCAGCCTGCTTTACTTGCAGCTGGAGCACTTCTCAAGGGTGTCACTCCTGATGGGGATACCGCACTACACGCCGTCGCCAGCAATGGTGATGACCAGCATTTCTTGAAGTACGCAAGCATCATCTATGACAAGGACATGTGCCTTCTGTTTGAGAAGAACCACAAGGGCGACACACCCTTGCATCTGTTTTTCATCTCATTGATCTAGCTGGGCGTGAGGGTGCCGACACAAAGCTCAGGCTCTTGAGAATGGAAAATGAGCGTCACGAGACAGCGCTGCACCACGCTGTTCAAATTGAGGAAGGTAGAATTATGGGTCACAAGGAGAGAGCATTGCTTGATGCTGCGCACCCTGCCGGAGAAGAAAAGAGTAAGGTTGATGCAGATTGTGCACCAGAAGAAAAGAATATAGTGAAGCTGCTAATGGGCGCTGATCCCCAATTGGCTAATTATCCTTCAGAAGGCATTTCCCCCTTGTACCTAGCCATCTTGCTGGAGAAGAGTACCACTGCGCTGACTCTATACAATATGAGCGGCGGCAATCTCTCCTACTCTGGAGCAGATGGACAAAATGCCTTACATGCTGCTGTTCTTCGAGACAGGGACACAGGTAACCATTATAAATATATGTACCTAATTTCAGAACTTACGTACCCATTAATTATTTTTTACCTACTCTATATGGCGTAGAATATACTCCCTCCGTCCTAAAATAAGTGTCTTGAGCTTAGTACAAATTTGTATTAGAGCTAATACAAAGTTGAGACACTTATTTTGGGACGGAGAGAGTACAATTATGTAGACTAATACTTTACGTATACCCAATTTAATTCACTTCCTAATCACATTTTTATCTATATATTCTTTGACTGGCTTTAATTAAGCTACATCGTTGCTCACGTATAAATTAGCACAGTGCACCGTGCAATTCCACTAGATACCTCTTTAGTGTGTTTAACTGAACCTGTCGTTTATATATGTTATTTTAGGTTAGTATACATAATTGCAGATGATATCATACATTGGTCGGCAACATCTTTGATGTACACGATTTTTTAAAATAAATTCATAATCTTAACTCGGTATAGTTTTTTTTTTTAGAAAAGAAGGATGACCCCCGGCCTCTGCATCTGGGAGATGCATACGGCCACTTTATTGATTATTCCCGAGGACCTTACAAAGTATTACAACAATATGCCTGAATCCGCCATCTTGGCAACATATGCCACTACTCCTATCCATATGATGAAGGGGTGTTACCTAGGCCACATACCCGGTCTACTCACCTAAGCCTATCATCAAAAGCCAGAAGCCCCAGCCGAGCCACATACCGGGTCTGGGGCATAAACTAGTCTGACGCACTCACATGTGTCGTCGCCGCCATCTTTCACAGGTCCGTCTTCAGAGCAGATATTGAGGCTTCTACCTTGTCAGGCCACTCCGTCATCGACGCCACCTTGACGCCAGACAACTACCTCCACCTGCGCGAGTCCATCCCCGCGCATCGGGCACCGAGTCTCCACTGCACCACGCAGCTGAGATTCGCCGTCATCAATGTGAAGGATGAAGTACCGCTCCACCAATAAGGCACCCGCTGGTCCCTCGATCCCGTGTACGCCTCCAAGAATGACGCCCCCAAGGAGGAAACGACACCAACGCGTCGCCGTCATCCGATCAACTGATCTAGGGTTTCCCCCGGAGGTAGCGGATAGAGGTCTAGAGCTTCTCCACGGCGATGCCTTCAAGAAGGTAATGACACCACCGGGTGCCACCAACGCCGGTCTTGGCAACAAGCCGAGCACAAGGTTTTCACCCGGATCCGCTCGAAGAACCTCCATCACGTATTGTGCACACGGGTCGCCGCCGATCTGAGCCGCCGCACATCGAGCAAGCCGCACCGGGCAGATCGGATCTGTCCGGAGGGCAAACCACGCATGGCGCCAACCCAACCACCAGGACCTCCATGCCGTCACCGCCGATCCGAGGACAGATGGTCCGTCACTGCAGATCCGGCCGCCACCGCCGAACGCAGCCAAGGCCGCTGCCCGACGCAGGGCCGGCCACCGCAACCGCCACCACCACCGCCCTAGGACGAGGCCGCCGCCGCGCTGCCGCCGGTCAAGGCAGGCCCGCCACGCCACGGAGGCCAGATCGGCCGTGCCACCTCACGCCGCGGAGCTCCGCACCGTCCCCATGGCGCGGGAGAGAGGAAAGGCCCCCGCCACCGCCGTCAGCCCCCGGGCAAAGGCCGGCGGCGTCCTTCGGCGGCAACGGAGGGAGGGATGGAAAGACGGGGAGCCCCCGGCGGCTAGGGTTGGGATCCCGCCCGAGTTGCCCGAGGCGAGGGCGACGCGGGGGGCCCCGTATTGTTCTCTTCTAAAAATGGGGAGATTTTCACTTCCCGGCCTCTGCACCAACTAAGGATGCATACGGCTATTTTAGTATGAGTACCAAGATATTTCTTTCATTTGCAGCGTATTTTACACCACACAACAAGCTTGATCTTCAATAAACGGGGGAAAACCCCTGTGCATCACCTGTCAATTCTGGGAATTGAACTTGGTATAGAATGGTATGGCTAAATATAATTTAACGGATGATGCTCAAATATATATGTATCAAATGATTATGAATAAAAAGTAAATCATATTTCTTTCATTTGCAGCGTATTTTACACATTTCAAAACAAAGGATTTGTTGTAGTGATAATTATAGGGAAGATATTTCCACTTGTTTGACAGATTATAATCATTGAATTTATATAGGAGATTTCATTTGATTCTGTTTTTTCCATCCTCTCATTTTTCTCACTTTTATCTTTTTTCTCAACTTTACCCACTCCTTATTGTTTGTTCTTTTGGTCTTCAACAACTATATGCTTGTACTAAATGAGCTACATGAATGCACCGATGATATACATGCTTTACACAAGAATAGTTCTCCTTTTCTTTTCTCTCAGCTGAGGTATTGTTTGTTGGACTTGATTATCATTTATCTGATAATCTCTCCAAGTATGTTATGATAAGTTGGTCTTCTTTGATTCCAATGATAAATCCGTGTCTAAACCTTTGTAGTGTTGCATCCATGAACATCCTGTTATGATGCCACCGCTCAAATTGCAGGTTATGGTAGCACGATCTCTAACCAAATTACGTTTGACCTTCTAAGCAGTAGTGCGAAATTAGTTTCTACTACTAGTTTAAAGGCCCAAACATTTGTCAACCCAACACAACATATATTGTCATGACATAGGCAGCCCAGCCCATCCTCCATTTTTTCTGTAGATTCGCCACTGCTTCTAAGAGAGTGGTACTCGATAGAGCCAACTCGTATGGCATTCAATAGTGTGCCTTGGGAGAGCTACACACAGGCTCATGATACGGAGTCATAAGAGCATCTACAGCCGGATTTGGCTAATCCGGCTCACTATACGACCGCGAACGCGCCCGGGCATGCTTGCGGACGCACTCGGGCTGGCCCTCATATTTCGTTCCTGGAATTTACATTTCTCAAATTCGGACTCTCAAATCCATGCACATCGATCATACAAGCTAATGTCGCACGTACGTACACAAATGTTGGTCAAGTGCCGAGCATAAATAGTGTTTACATAAAATTTATGGATCCACATGTGCTCTTTGGTTGTCACTATTGGTCCACATGTGCTCCACAAGATCATTGAGCAGCTGTGTGTGCACCTGATGATCTACAAGATACTGATGCATCTGCAGAAAGTTCATAAGCTGAGTTGCATCTTGATTTTTCGAGATTTCAAATTGTTCTTCAGGTGCTTCAAAATCATTGGTTTGGGCTACACCATCACCCTCATCCTCGACAACCATATCGTGCAAAATAACATAACATGTCATCAGCTGCCACAAAGTTTCTGATCCCCCCATCATTGTAGCGCTACGCACAATTCCCCAACGAGCTTGAAGCATACCAAATGCCCTCTCCACATCATTCCTAGCCGCTTCCTGCATTGTTGCAAAGGGGCTCTGTTTATTGCCATGTAGTTCTGATATGGTCTTCACAATCGACGCCCACTGAGGATAGATGCCATTGGCAAGATAGTATCCCATGTTGTACTCTCGGTCGTTGACGGTGTAGTTGCACAGAGTTGATTCCCCATTGTAGAGTCTCCTAAACACCGGAGTTCTTTGAAGCATGTTGATGTCGTTATGGGAACCCGACATTCCAAAGAAAGCATGTCAAATCCATAAGTCACGTGAGCCACCGCTTCTAGTATGATCGTGACCTCTTTGGCGGGACCTTGATACATTTCCTGCAAACTTTTGGGGCAGTTCTTCCATTGCCAATTCATGCAATCAATTGAGCCGAGCATTCCTGGAAACCCCCTTGCCTCTCCAATAGCCAATAACTGCTCCGTGTCCTGCACATTGTTTCTATGAGATACTCAGGTCCAAACACCTCCACCACAGCACAGGCAAACTTGACAGTAGTCTTCAGGCAGGTGCTCTCCCCCATCAGGACCATCTCACCAACAACATCTGCGGCAGTACCAAGTGCAACCATCCTTAGAGCAGCCGTGCACTTTTTGCTTGGCAGAGAAAGAGAGTTGTCCGCAACAATCCCTTGTGAGCATGAAGTAGTAATCGTTTGCCTTCACAGACCGTCCACAATGCGTAGAAACAATGGTTTCCGCATGCAAAAATAGTGACGAAACCATGGATCATCCGGGAATGTAGGATTGGGAGCAAAGTAGTCTCTGTACAGTAGCTTTGCTCCAGCCACCCTATGCCGGTTGATCACTCTTCTCCCTTCGATTGAAACCTTGAAATCGAGAAGATGCTCCACTTGCCGGTCCATTTTCTCTTGCATGCTCATGACCATGATCATGTCCACCTCGTCCGAATCCGAGGAATCAAAGAACTCATCTTGAATCATTTGATCAACCTCCGTCGGTCAATACTCCCCGCCTGACGAAGCATCGGAATCCGTTGTTTTCCCTAACGAAATCACACAAAAATCTGGTCAGACAATGTGTCAAACACATCAAGCGCAAGGCGGAGCCAGAGAGTTGTCGGACGTACCTCGGTCGCGTCCGGGCCGGCGAAGACGTCCCCCGCGGCAACGACGACGACGACAGGACTGCTCTGCGGAGCTGGCGGCGCAGAGGCTACGGATGGCTGCGGAGCACGCGCGTCGGCGGAGCTGCGAGGCGGACGACGCGGAGGAGGAAGAAGAGAGCAGATAGCAAATAGCAAAATGGATCCGGAAGTTCGGGGTGGATTTGGTGCAAAGGTTAGCGGTGGGATCGCGTCGTCATGTCCAACATGGCGGGTGTGCCCGGGTGCCCCCATATGGGCCTCATATTTGGGCTGGATATGGAGGTGCTGGTTAGCCCGGATGTTTGAGGCTTGTTTAAGGAGTCCGTCTGGGTCAAAAAATCATGACCGGTGAATGGCTGGGCCGGCCGCCTGGGCGTATGAGGCAGGTTTGAGAGACCCGGATGTAGATGCTCTAACTAGGGATGACATGGGATGATTGAGGGAAATATGCCCATGCCAGCAGCAAACATCTAATGTGAAGTCACTATATAGGTAAAATTATGTCTAACATAGCTTTTCACGGAACTACTTAACTTTTTGTGAGGTTTTGACGCTGTAAAAGATATCAATAAATATGAAATAAATGTTGGAACTTCGCACCAATATTATAAGATGATCCAACAGAGGGCGATTGTGAAAATATGTATTTACATGCCCTCAGCAAAAAACAATCATTTTAACGGAGCGATATATTGACTTGCTTTTTGCGGAAAAGAGGGTTGAAACCCTTGGCCTCTGCATAATCTATGCACACAACCTGTGTACATCAATAGTAGGCTTTACCCACTAATCCCCATGTAAAGATACATGTTGATAGATTTGCATGTCATTGAACACATGTTAGTTACAGTCCGCTTTAGAAAGTAAAAAAGTACGATACACAATTTTAAAAATCATTATTTCTAGAGTCAAGGTCAAAACCTAAACCTTTGAAAATATGACCATTATGGAAATTTTGAGCATGTTTCTCTATTTTTCTTTTATATTGTATTTTTACTATACAATTGATTGATAGATACATAGATATAGGCTCTACACTTGACGATGTTGTTGCCTTATATGTAGATACATGATTAAATAAAGGCCTTGTATGAAATGCTACTGAGATTAAGAAATTTCTACATGAGTTGCAGCCCTTTTTATTCACTAAGTATATTGTTTGCAGTGATGATAGAGTTCCTTATTCACTGGAACAAGGGCCTTACTGCACAAGTGGACAAAGATGGGAATACACCACTTCATTTTGCTTCATCACTATTTTATTGGACTGGCTCGTATCTGCGTCTTGCGCTCCTCCGCAGACCCCCTTGGTGTGTTTTTGTATGGTTTCCCTGGAAATCTACACAGACACTCCAGAAGGTATTCAAAGCGAACCCCACAGTAGTGTATCAAGCAGACAAGAACGGGTCTTTTCCCATACATGTGGCTGCCTCTGTAGGTGCCAAAGATGCCATACAGTTTTTCTATGACGAGCGTCCAGACAGTGTTGGATTGCGTGATGCTAAAGGAAGGACCTTCCTTCATGTTGCTGTCAAGAAAAGAAGACTGAGCATAGTCTTCTATGTACGCCGGACTCGATCTTTAGCTTGGATTCTGAATATGCAAGACAACGATGGGAATACTGCACTGCACTTAGCTATCCAGACTCGGAGCTTTAGGATGTTTTGTGCTCTACTTGGGAATCGGAAGGTGGAGTTGAATCTAATAAATAACCATGGGGAAACTCCCTGTGATATATCTAGAAGTAAGATTCCATGCGGAATGAATTATAGACAGGCAATATACTTTTTTTTAATATATTTTCAAGCTAGTTCACCCCTTGAATATACTCATATGTTACAGACCGTTTACATTTCAGAACCCCGAGAATAAAATATTTGATGCCTTGTTGTCTGTTGGGGCAAACCATGGTGCCCTTCGCTGGGATAAAACTGAGGAAATGTATAGCCCGCGTCAAAAGCCAGAGGACAAGGTCAAGGAATCAGAGTGGCTGAAAGATGCAACCCAAACGCTTATGGTTGCTTCAGTCTTAATAGCAACAGTGGCGTTCACCGCAAACTTTGCTCTTCCTGGAGGTTACAGAGCCGATGATCATAAAAATGGTGGCACGCCAACACTTGCTGGGAGTTTTGTTTTTGATGCATTCATGATGGCCACAACATTAGCTTTCATCTGCTCCTCAATAGCCACCGTTGGTTTCGCGTATGCCGGAACTCCCATGGTTAACTTGATCGCCCGCAGAGTCTACTTTGGCCTATCTGCACGTTTCATGTCGAGTTCAGTCACATGCATGTCTATCGCTTTTGCACTGGGGGTGTATATGGTGCTTGCACCAATTGCTCGTGATACCGCTATTGCTGTTTGTGTTATTACTCCTGCCGTGTTGCTAAGTGCAAATATGGAGGCTATTTTGAAATTGGTTATTCTTGCACTACCGTTATGCATTAGGAAAGGGCTATTCCTAGGAATGGTACAGCTACTAAAGTTATATGTGGTCAAACTAATCGCTGCACTTTGGCCCTTCATATTAACCTTTGGTTGGGCCGCGTTGGCAAGGATCCACCGCCATCGCTAACTCATATGCATGGGCTTGTCCAGAACTGGTGTTATGGAAGTATTTGATTCAATTCCTCTGGCTTGTAAATTTTATTCTGTAGGATTTATTTTTTAAAATTAATTTGTAAGATTGATTGAAATATGTAAAACATAATCATTGTAAAAATGTATTCTGTTTTGCAAATCTACAGTAAGATTATTCAGCTGCACAATTCCATTGTTCAGTAAAAACTGTATGCCACATCTACACTAAGAAAGTCTGAAGACTTGCTATTTGAAGAACTGAACTGAAAATTAGAACTGATGTGCGTGGCCACGTTGGCAAGGATCCACCGCCAACGCTAACTCATAAGCATGTGATTGTCCAGAACTGGTGTGGAAGTATTTGATTCGATTCCGCTGGCTTGTAAACTTTATTTTTGTACAGTCATTGTTGAAATGTATTGTGTACCTGTGATGGTATATGACTGATTGAATATATGCACGACATAACCATTACCAAAAATGCAGAGGCAGTATGCATTATTTCTCTCATCTCCCCCACAAACAGAGATGCCAACTTTTCTGCCTCTCGGCCTCAGGTGTGGATCATTGCCATAAAGGAGAGAAAATTCAATGACGTAAGTTTGAATGTAATACTCAAACTTAGGTGTGGAGTAGCATTTCGATCGCATGAAAATTCAGCGCCAGGTTTCCTGTTTCAATTCAACTTCAATTTTTATATTCAGCTTCAATTCAAGACTAGCTTTTCTGCCTCAATCTAGGGTATGGAGCAGCATTTTGATCTGACCAATAAGAGCATCTCCAACAGACGCACTAAACAAGCGCCGTGCTGAAAAATTAGTCTTTTTTGTGCACCCGCTTCCGCTCCGGGCGCTGCAGCTCAGGCGCAAAAACCGCGCGCGTGGCATAACCAGTTCAGTGCGCGGGCAAAAACGTCATCGCGCGCCGTTTATTTGCTGCGCCCGCTCCCACGCGCTGCACACTCGAGCGCCCGCTCGCAACTCCACCTACCCCATGCAGCCGCGGCGCTGCCGCCGCCCGCGCCACCCCATTTCTTCTGGCGACCGTTCCGGCGCTTCCTCGACCTATCCCCCACGCCGCTGCTTCCACCATCTCTCTCTAGTCACCGCCGCTCCTCGCGCAGCAGTCGTCCGACGAACAGCGCCCGGCCGCCCACTGCCGCTCGGTGCCCGCAAGGTGTTCGACAAAACGCCCGCAAGGTATGTATTGCTTCAACTTCACATTTTTACATGAATTTGATGCATGTTGTTTGTAGTTTTTATAGCTTAGTTTATGAACTTGTAGATGAGTTCGTCATATAATTCTTCCGAAGAAGAATTTGATATGGAAGAGGAGGAGGATCTTGCAATGATCGTAGCTATGCACATCAATAAAAAACCGAAGCACGGTGGTTCGGTTATGGGTCGGCAGAAAATTTGGAGGGATAGGATCGATGCCCACAATAGATTGATCAGGCACTATTTTGCGGAAAATCCCATGTACCCACAGTCATACTTCCGGCCGGTTTAGAATGAACACCGAGTTGTTCAGGCGCATTGCAGAGAAACTATCGAGCCATGACCGGTTTTTCGGCAAAGGAGGAATGCCGTCGGAGAGCTCGGGCATAGCACCTTTCAGAAGGTGACAGTCTCTTTGCGTATGTTGGCATACGGTATCCCCGCTGATCTAGTTGATGATCACTTGGCCATGTGTGAGAGTCAAGCCATCATGTGTGTCAAGCGCTTCGCAGTCGGAATTATGCAAGTGTTTGGCCAGGAGTATTTGAGATCTCCCAATGCTGAAGACATCGCAAGGCTATTGGAGATGAACAAAGCTCGTGGCTTCCCATGTATGCTTTGCTCAATAGATTGCATGCATTGGAGATGGAAGGATTGTCCAAAGGCATGGCCTGCCTAATTCCACGACAAAAAAAAAGGGTTTCACTATAATCCTTGAAGCGGTGGCCGATCAAGAGACTTGGATTTGGCATGCTTTTTTGGAATGCCTGGATCTTTGAATGACATCAATGTTGTTAACGGGTCACCATTGATTATTAAGATTGCAAATGGTGAACTGCCACCGGTGCACTTTTTGCAAATGGCCGTACATACAACTATGACTACTCTCTTGTGGATGTCATCTACCCAAAGTAGAAAACATTTGTGAAGCCGTTGAAAAAACCGAAAGGTAAGAAAAATCTTGATTTACACAATGCTCAGGCGGCGGCTAGAAAAGATGTGAAGGGAGCTTTTGGGATTTTGCAATCCTAATTTGCTATTGTGAGAGGACTGGCTAGATTTTGGGATCAAAAGATGCTTTGATACATCATGCATGCTTGTGTGATCATGCACAACATGATCATCGAGAATGAGTGTGGCCAGGATTTAGACTACTCTCACGATGAGCTCTTGGGACATCCCATGCGAGTGCGGCAGAGGGCTGAAAGGGTGACCCGTTTTGTTGCCTCTTATCATGCGTTTCGGCGTTCCGAAACGCATAATGATCTTCAAAAAGGTCTCATCGAGGAGTGGTGGGTATGGAATGACCGACAAAGAGCATCATGATTTGTGTTTGATGTTGTATTGTTGAACTATTTGTTGTATTGAAAGATAAACTATTTGTTTGAGTTGTAATAACGAAATTGAACTATTTTTGTTGATTTATTTTGTTTGTCTTTGATCTTTTTGCTTGTGTTTTGAGCGCATATTTTGTTTGAGCGATAGCGCGCGCGCTGCATTTTAGCGCGCCTACTGGAGCTACGCTCACGCGCTGCATTTTACAGCGGTCGCTGGAGCCGCGCTGGCCGCCGCGCCAAAACAGGCGAACGGCGCACCGCAAACTGATTTTTACCATGCCGCGCATTGGGCGGCTGTTGGAGATGCTCTAACTGTGTGTACTGTATATCCTAAACACACCGGGTCTCTGACAACTTCAATCCAACTTAAAAGTGTGCAGGTAAACTGATGATTGAAGCACAACATGTCATGTTCTTGTTCTTCCAGTGAAAATGCTTTTCCTGTAAAACGAAAATATAAAAATTATTATGTTCGACGCCATTTTGGCAAAATTATGTTATGAAATAATAATAAAAATGGTGCTAAAAATATACTCCCTTCGTTCGAAAATATTTGTCATCAAAATGGATAAAAAGGGACGTACTAGAACTAAAATACGTCTAGAAACATCCCTTTTTATTCATTTTGAACATCCTTTTTATCCATTTTGATGACAAGTATTTCGGACGGAAGGAGTATTTGCAAGCAAGTATATGACCGAGAATAATATGTTAATTTTCATCGGGGGTCATCAGGACCATGGAGTATTAATTATTTATGCCCGCACATACCTGGTCTAATTAACCGTGCATGGACACAAATCATGTACATGTCATGATAGAAATCATACGCATGCATGTGACTAGCTAGCTCGTTGAACGTGACGAGTTACTTGGCTTGACTATACACGAAAGCTGATCAGGCCAGATCCCTATGTGTCAGTCGTGACCGTGTCCGTGTGTAGGTCTAGCTGCTGGAACGAACACACAGGGGATAAGCTTCAGAGGAGATAATGCATCCTTATCTTGTCATCTCTCCACGAGATCAGGAGCGCCGGTTCAACAACTCTGTCGCGAAACTTATCCATTCGAGGTAAATATAACCGTGGTGCTTCAACTTGTCACGGATGTTCAGTTTCAGTTTAATGCCTGAACTTGAAAAATACGCCGAACTAGTTCTAAAATTTGGCACAGACATGCAAATACGGTGTTAATCAGACTCATAGACGTAAAGTGCATCGAGGTGGCACCGTATATGCTGATGTGGCACAGACTTGGCATGGGGCCCACTTATAACTACGAAATATAATTACTTGAATACTATACGTCTCTATGGCTAATGGGCCCGCCTGTCAGAACCATAGCAAAAATAAAATGGAAAATGCACTTGACAGGGATCAAACTAGCAGCCTGGCGCTTGGATGCTGCTCGTGCTAGCCACCACGCAGAACAAGTTTTAATGTTAAAACTAGTGGTTGGGCCCGCCATTGTGGGCCTCCTGGGAGGAACTTGGGGCATTGCGAGATAGGGACGCGCCCCTTCCACTTTCTTGTTTGTACCACAGGGTGTTATTCCAAAACGTACTTAAAGTACATGCATATTTAGTACTCGTACGTGCAAATTCCTAACTGAAACTTAGCTATCTTCACCTTGATGTAAGCACAAAGTTGATTATGTTCTTAAGCCATTTCTACCATGCATGAGGTCTATGTTCAGAAAACCTGACCCTTGCTTGCAAGTAAACAAAATGCAGGCACACATATGTTGTCTGAGTTGACAACAAAATTGGAATCAACACGTTGGGGAAAACCGGCAGAGTTATCCGAATTCAGTAAATCAGCCATGCTTGTGTTCTTAGTTTGTCATGTCATGTACATTATTCTTTCGGGACAACAGTTCAGTAATCCAAATCATGGTGGAATGGGCTACATGTAGTTTATTTTGTGCTTGAAACATCACGATTGATTTGCTATTGCTTCGTTTTACAATTAGAATGGGCCAAAAAAATATAGCAATGAGCTACCATATCAGAAAATCACTTGATACAGAGTGCAATTCAAATTCATATTAACCAACATAAGCTTAGTCACTGAACAATCAACAAAAACTCATGCAAGATTTTGATATCAATGGCATAATGACAATTGAAAAGGTTCAATTATTTTCTTATAAAGAACAAGCTCACAAAAACTACAATATCATTTAGTGTATTTTGTTTGGAAAACCATAATCTGCAGATCTAGAAAAAAACCTTTTATATGAGTAACAGACACAACCTTATGTTGAGAATAAAGTGCTGGTACCAAATAGCATACCTCACAGGTCGGCTGCTGTGGCAGGCTCCCGCTCAGCAGAAGTGACTTCCTTCGCTGTCACAGCTGCTGGGGCTATATTGCTAGCAGCATCAGCAGCCTCATCGGTGGAACTAAGAGCATCTTCCTTGAAATAAACACCAGAGACTCCCTTCTCTGTTACAACAGCTGGGCGGTGGAACTGAAACCATCTTCATTTTTGGCTTCCTTTTTGGCACTTCAACGGCAGCTACTTCCTTATCTTCACTGGCACATCTATCTCCAACACCGGTGACCATTTGCCGCTCTCACCATCTTCAGTTGAGGCACCTTCAATGCTCTTGATGGCTGGTTCCGATGTGGACATCGAAATGACACCTAAGATATGTGAATCCTCCATTGCTAGCAAGGTAACATACTTCTCAGTACTGGCAAGCTTCTGTTCTTCCTCAACTGCAGCTATAGATGCATCACGTTCATAATTAGCAACAACAGATAAAAGATACAATTTGGAAAATACAAAAGTACACACATGGCTGGATTTTGGGATGCTACAATTAAGATCTTGTTGGCTACAGATAAAGCAAGGAAAAAATGGATACATTTCAGAACCACTACAGATAAACTGATAAAGTTTTAAATTAGTCATTTTAGTTCAAATGCAACAATCCAGAGTACTAATGAGTACATATAAACAAGAAACAGATTAATGACATTTGAAATGCAAATCCATATTAGTGCAGGTAAAACAAGAATAAATGGATGAATTTTTAACTTCCACAGTCTAGAGTCTTAAACAATACTCCCTCCGTAAAGAAATATAAGAGTGTTTAGATTACTACTTTAGTGATCTAAACGCTTTTATATTTATTTATAGAGGGAGTACAAATAAACAAACTGATGAGTATGTACAGTCTTAATCAATGAATAGATGGATGGATTCTGGTGCATGGGTGAATTGAACTATCTCACCTTCCTGGAGCTTGGTAGCCTCTTCCACAACTTCCTCCAGCTTAGAATTATCACATCTCTTGTGAGCAGATTCAATGGGCAAACAGAAGAAACCACTGCACAGTCAGGAAATCGAATCAGTAACTGTTCACAAACAATACAGAAACCAACTTCTTTTACCAGTTGATTTAGCTAGAATATAATGAATATTTGATCTAATACAATAATAAACATGTACTTCAGTTCACTATGAACTACAGAATTCACCCTATCAGTCTCTACATAAAACTGAAAAACGGAATAGTATAGCTGCCGCCACGGCAGCAGCTCGAGCTGGATCCTACAAGCGCACGACACAATGATAAGCAACCAACCACTATCGCTGGATCCTACACAGCACAAATGGTCTTAGCTCTGTTTTCAAGGCGTCCCTAAGGCGTCGCCTAGGCGACGCTTAGGCGTCAGGGCGCCCTGCGAGGGCAAGGCGTCCACCTCGCCTTAGGTGGGTGTCTAAGGCGTCCGCCTTAAGCTATAAGGCGTCCGAGGCGTCCGCCTAGGCGTCCGAGGCGTTGCCTTGGTCCATTTTGGACGCCTTAGCTTGCCAGGCAGGTAGGGGAGCTGTTTTAGGCGGGAAACAAAGTTTTGGCAAGAAACTGGAATCATGTTGGCGCCAACAGGTAAGAGGGGAGAAAGAGAGAGAGAGAAACAGCCCCCAATCCACACACTCCCCCCCTCCTTCTCTTCAGTGGCTCCTCTCCAGCAGATCTGGTTCCTCCTCTCCAGCAGCTCCTCCCCCTCCTCTCCAACGGTTCCTCCTCTCCAGCAGCTCCTCCTCCTCTTCCTCCTGTCCAGCAGCTCCTCCTCTTCTTCCTGTCCAGCAGCTCCTCCTCCTCCTCCTGTCCAGCAGCTCCTCCTCCTCTCTAGTACAGCAACAACAAGCAAGAGCAACAGTAAGGTATACCTCCCTCTCCCTTCTCCCACACCCTCCTCTGCTCTCTTTCTTCTTTGCTGGACTGTTTTGTGCTAGCTGGTTGGTGGTTGCTCACTTGTCTCTTATAGTGGTTAGTGCCTTAGTGGCCAGGCATATGTTAGTGATTAGTTTAATGATAGTGGGGTTAGTGCCTTAGTGGATGCTCCTTGGTTGAATAAAATAATGCATGCTGTTGGCCTGTTGGGTGGATTAGAATTAATGACTAGTTGAATGCTGATTAGTTTAATGGCTAGTTGATTGTCGCTGTTTGCTACATCTGCATGAGTAGAGTAGTTTAGTTGCTGCCACAGCAGCCTTTTCATATGTCTGGTACCCTTTTGTCTATCTAGTAAGTACTTTATTGTTTGTTGCCTTGTTGCCATGGCAGCCCTTTTATCAGTTATGCTAATATTCCTTTGTGTTTGGTTGTTTGCTGCAGGTAGTAGAAGTGTAGCACCATGGATGGAAATGCAGCAGCTGATGGGGGTGAGCCAACCTACGATCCAATGAAAGATCCAACAAGGAAGCCACAACGGTCAAATGATCCGGGATGAAACTATGGATATTGGTCTGAGCCTCCAAATCGGGATGTTGTTGTGTGCGCTCTTTGTGGCAAGATAACTTCTGGAGGGATCAAGAGGCATAAAGAGCATCTTGCGGGCGTCGGAGGAGATGCAATTGGTTGTCCTAAGGCCACCACACAATTGAGGAGAGAAATGGGAACATATTTGGAGCAAAATAGGAGGATCAAGGGAGTAGTAGATGTAGATGATGTTCAGGAGGTTGTGGAGGTGAGTTCAGTTGAAGCAAACATCGCCTCTAAAAGGCCAAGCTCAGGGACAGCAGCCAAACAGAATAAGAAAGCGTTTATCACCAACATGCAAGGTAAAAAGAAGTCTGTTGTGTCTGCCGCCAATAGTTCCAAGCCAATTGTTGCCATGCTACGAAGAACACCTGAGGATCTTGTAGATGAAAGACGCTCTGGGTGTTCTCAAAGCACCATGGAGTCCAGCACAAAGACTCTAGAAGAGAGGCAGTATGTCAATATGCAGTGGGCATTGTTCTTTTACGAGTGTGGGATTCAATTCAACGCTGCAAGTAGTAGGCAGTTTGAGGTTGCAATTGAAGCCTCTTGTCAATATGGGTCAGGTTACAAGCCTCCTAGTGCACATGAGCTGAGAGAGAAATTGCTTAATGATTGTGTGAAGGAAACAGGACTTTTGAGGAGGCAACACGAGGCAGCATGGAAAAAATATGGATGCACACTCATGTCGGATGGCTGGTCGGATAAAAGAGGACGCCATTTGATTAACTTCCTTGTTAATAGTCCAGAGGGCACTTTCTTCTTGGAGTTGGTTGATGCCTCAAGTGTATGTCATGATGGTGATATGATAGCTGATTTGCTTGAGAAGAGAATTCTGGATGTTGGAAAAGAGAATGTGGTACAAGTTATCACCGATAATGGTGCTAATTACAAGAAAGCTGGCCACCTTCTAATGGAGAGGATGCCTACTCTATATTGGAGCCCGTGTGCATGTCATTGCTTGGACCTAATGTTGGAAGATATAGGAAAGTTGAAGGAATTTAAGAAGCCTATTGCAGGGGCTAGACGTGTCACAACTTTCATCTATAGACATGGAAGACTTCTTAGTCTAATGAGGAAGGCCACGGGTGGGGATCTTGTGAGACCAGCAGCCACTCGTTTTGCCACAGCCATCCTCACACTTAGGAGTTTGGTCAAGAACAAGGCTGCATTGAGGAGTTTATTTACATCTGAAGAATGGGTTGGAAACAAGTTAGCAAAAACACAAGTTGGCTTGAATGTGCAAAAGATTATACTTTCAACGGAGTGGTGGAGCGCAATTGAGGACTGCCTTAGAGCTTCAACTCCACTTCTTAGAGTTCTTTGAGTAGCAGATGGTGATGAGAAGCCTGCCATGCCAGAGATTAAAGCACTTATGATTTATGTAAAGGAGAGGATCAATCTAGGTTTCCCTCAACAAAACAAGCAACCATTGCTCAAGAAGATCTTGGCCATTGTTGATAAGCGTTGGGAGAATCAAATGGATCATCCATTGTATGGGGCTGCTCTATTTTTGAACCCAGGAAAGTTCTTTCCTATTGTAAGCAGAAATGATGATGCCTTAGTTGGGGAGCTTGGGAGCTGCTTTAATGATGTGCTTGCAAAAATGGTACCGGATGCCAATGTTCGAAAAAAGATTGATCAACAATCTATGCTCTATGAGCAACAGCGAGAAAGCTTTTCTAATCCATTGGCACTCGAGACCATGAGCACAAGAAACCCTCGTAAGTCATATTAAATGCATCATGTTAATTTCAGCATGTTAATTCCAGTTCCAGCAATGTAATTTCTGTACAAACTCTTAATATGTGTCAGTTTTTATCATTTTAGTTGATTGGTGGAGTTCATTTGGTGGTCGGCCCATTGACCTACAAAGGTTTGCAAAGCGCATTGTTAGTCTTTGTGCTTCATCATCTGATTGTGAGAGGAATTGGAGCACGTTTGAATTTGTAAGTCAACTAGTAAAGCAGTATTTGTGTTTGTTCAATGATGATTTCAGCAAGTTATTTACTTATTTCACTTGTTGTTTCTACTTTGTAGATCCATACAAAGAAAAGGAACAGATTACAATGTAAAAGGTTGAATGATCTTGTCTTTGTTTCATACAACCGGAAGAATATGCAACGGTTTCAAAAGAGGCGTGAGAAGGTGGGTGAGAATAGCTTTGAGGCTTTGGTCATTGAGGATTTTGATTGGGGCAATGAGTGGGTGGACCCATCACCATCACAACCTCAAGGTGCTCTAGGTTGTCCTGAAGACAATCAAGACATTACATGGGAGGATGTTGATGTGGCTATTGGTGCATCTTCAAACCTTCGAGGCCGCAATCTGCATAGGACAGCAACTACACTTCGTAGGGGCCAGACAAATGTCCGTCTGCACTACGCACACAAGAGACCTACTACAACATGACCTATAATTCCTGAAGAAGATGAGGTAGAGGAGTACTTGGAGCAAGAGCAACACTCAAGTATGCCCAATGCGGAGGGGGAGGATTCAGACTACGTTGAGGATGATGATGATGTGAGCAATGACGATCAAGAGCCAACTAATGTTGACCAAGATGGTGAAGACAGCACCAATGCCAATGAGTTTGATGATGATGACTTTTGATTGAGACTTTGAGAGTGGAGAGACATGAGAGAGCTGAGCTGGCCACCTTTATCCCTTTTGTTATGCTGGAATTATCTATTATTCTGTTTGTCTTATGTGGACCTTTGTTATGTGGACTACTGGACTTGTGTCATTTGAATTGGTTAATGGTTATGTAATATGCCATGCATTGCAGATTGCAGTTGCACCCATACTTGCTATCTTTCTTTCCACTTTTGTTCGCTGCCTCACTTTTATTTCTATTTTTGTGGAATGTGCACTGGTAAGTGATACATTATTCTAACATATTTGTTCATGACTTCATGTTGATGCAGAATTCTGCTGGGGAGAAAAGCAAGTGCAAAGAGGATGGGGGCTCTACAACAATCAGTTGCAAGGTGTGTATGGATGTATGCCTAGTTGCTTAATGCCTACCAAATTCTACTTAATTCTGTTGCTTACAAGTCTCTAAGGCGTCGCCTCGCCTTATGCCTCAGCGCTTAGGCAATGAGGCGCCCCCCCAGCGCCTCGCCTCGCCTTACCGCCTTAAAACAGATATCATTAAGATAACTAAACCAACACTGAATCAGAAGGAAAGAAATTTACTCATGTAGTAAAGAGCATTAAGTAACCAATGGATCAACTCCAAAGAATGAATGGAAAACAAAAGTATACATTTGGGAAATATCAAATTTAGGCCAAGTTCTAGTTTGGAAGTTCAATACCTTATAATCATGAACCCTGATTGTATCAGGTGAAACGAGGAGAATGCTCTCTAGCTTAAGATCCATGTGAATAAGCTGCAGGTCATGTATAACTGCAGGGGTAAGAAAAATAGAATTGTTATGTATAGATACAAAAGAAGAAGAAGAAGAAAAAAATAGGTGCTTAGAACTGGCAGGTACAGATAGAAATAAACAATTTAGCACAACCACGACAAGGTTTCAACATAATAGTAATTTGTCTAATAGAACAAACAACAGAATTAAACCGAATACTAAACTATCTTTGGTTCACAATGTATATGATCTTGTTTAAAATCTTGAGTATAAAAGGGAGCAGAGATTGTCAAACACATGTGGATTAGGTGCTCGTGTCGCTTGATACCTCCTCTTAAAGATTCCCATCCCGCCTAAAATGCAAAGACACATGGGGAATTACAGTTAGCAGTGTTCTAATACAATTTTTTCTGTAATTTTCTCCTTAAAATCGAAATGACATATTTTTCATGAAGAATGAAAGATCAATTATTTATTCTTTTGGTGCCTATGAGGAAAGTGGAAGGATTCACACTGGCCATACTCATGGAACCTGTAGCAAGATAGTAGTATTTATTAACCTGATAACATCATAGTTTTAGCTAGGTCCTGACATTCAAATTCCTAGTTGGACACTATCACAGATCACGGGGTGATGCAAGACAGAAAATATATGTGAGCATTCTCAAATCATAACCAAATCGAAAGGAAAAGATTTATCATGTCCTTAACATGTACATTATTCATTTCATTTTATCACAAAAACAGGAAAGTGTATTCGATAATATATGCTTAGGATATCTAAGAATCAAAAGGGAAAATATACCATGGTTGATCCTTATTTCCATCTAACCACCATCAGCCAACACAAAGGGATCATCAGTCAAATCCATCAATTGGCTACTGCCTGAGGGAGAGACAAAGAAACTGCATAAACATCCAATTCTAGAACTGACAAAATCTACACACAAATGAATTCATATCAGCCTCTCAATTCATCTAGAGCAATAAATGAAACACTAATCCTGCCAGTGCAAAGCGCAGCAATCCAGAACAGCCTCCTAAATGCTCCAAATCCAAAATCCAAACAGATTTCAGATTAACACAGGCTAAGTGGAACCATCGAACCAAGCAACCAAATCAGAGCCTCCATCAGAATAACAAACCTGAGGTAGTAGTGGAGGTGATGAAACTCGTCGAAGCTGACGCCGTTGTCGCGGCCATCCATCACCAGCCACCGCAGCTCCGCCTCCACCTCTGCGGCGCCCGCATCGTAGCCGTAGCCGCAACCACCCTTTGTCGTGTGCACTGGCTTGGCCCACCTCGCCGAGGCACGGGGGAATAAGAGAGGGAAGTAGGAGGTCCATGCCGCCGCCCTCGGTCAGGAGCAGGGTCAGGAAGACGAGCGGCGAGGACCCCGACCCGAAGAGCTCGCCGCGGGTGAAGAGGATGGAGGGGCCACCAAGAGGAGAAGATCCATAGGAGAACCCAACCTTCCTTCGGTGGCCAGCGCTGGAGGAGCGACGGGACGGTGGCGGCGTCAGCAGCAACCCTAGATGGGGAGTGGGAAGAGGAGGTTGTGTGTGGGTGACGAGGCGTGTGCGTCGAGAGAGCGAATCTTACTTGTCCCGTAGCTGATCCGACGTGGACAGCGCGAGAAGGCGCCCTTGATGCGCATCTGAATGGTTTTAACTAGTGGCTGGGGCGTGCCATTGGCACGCCTCCTAAGCGTTCATGTGCGCACTTATCTAGCTCACACACGTCGGTGAGTCTAGGTTGATCTTTGATGGCACTTATATGCAGTAAAAGTTATTTGACTACGGGTGAATATGCATCTTTGCTGACTTTAACCTCTCGATGAGTTTGAGAATATATTATAAAAAACTTGCTATTATAAGCATGTGCTCCTCCGCCGCCCTGTGCGCACGAGTCTTGTTGGTGTACTTGTGAAGGTGTATATACAGCCGAGAGGAGCACTGACTTCCTCTCGCACATGGCCTCCGAACCTGTCGCCTCCTCGCTCACATCGTGTTCTTTGACCGTATACTTTGGGTGCAGAGGCAGGGAAAGGGAGGAGGACCTGGAGGAGGCGATGGAGGCGGAGGTGGAGAGACGAGGCGGCAGGAAGGAGACGGGAGGGGAGAGAGGAAGGAGGGGAGGCGGCTGGGACGTTTGGATACTTTCTAGTGTTGGTTGCTCTCGCTGCCCAATCGATCACTTTTTTTCCTGTTAGCCAATACGCGTACGTGCGTACGTCCCTTTACTGCTCCTAAGCTGACGTGGATAGCGCGAGGGAGCGACCCTTGCGCGACTGTTAATGGGTTGAATTAATAGGCCCCTCAAACTTGACATATTGAGACGGAAACTCTTGTCTTCTGAAATGGGCTGCAGCCAGTGGCCCATATTGCACACGTTATTCTTTAAAAAATAATATAATAATAAAAGTAAGATTCAAAAATTCACGTGTTATGAGAAATTACCGCATGCCACACAAAATCTGTGTGCACACAAAGTTAATATATAGAGGTGTACCGTATACAATAAAATAAATTACTAAACAATATTCCTGTAATATTTAGAAATATGAACTTATTTTTTAGAAAATACTCCCACTGTCACATAATGTAAGACATTTTTTTATACTACTGTAGTGTCAAAAAATGTCTTACATTATGGGACAGGGGGAGTACTATTTCTAGAAAATAATTATTATTTAGAAAAACTATTTTAAATGGTAGTATTTACAAACATTTTTGAACAGTCATGGATTATATTTAAATAGTATTTTCAAGTTAATATTTCTAAAAATTACAGGATCATTTTAAGTAAGATATTTTATTACATACCTCTCTATATTTATTGTGTGCACACGGATATTTGTGTAGCATGAAGTAATTATTAATACCACATGAATATCAAATTTTCTCTAAGCGTGAGGTCGCAGGTTTGATGCCCGTCCAATACATTTTTATGTTAA